AAAAGAAAGAAAGAAAGGAATTATCCTCTGAGGTTAGAAATTGGTATTGAATGCAGTAGGTCCATTTAAACAAGAACGTGTATAAGTAGCTTACATCAGCCTGTTTTTGTGCTAAGTACTTTAACTCAGAAGAAATCTTGGTTTTAAGTTCACTCTAAAAGCAGCGCCAAGAAGCGTCACTGGCTCACTAAGAGGCTAGTGGACCAAGGAGCGGGTTGCGTCATTTCAGCACCTTTTAAGGTAAAGGAGGAGGGAATCCTCCTTGAACTCATTAGCCAATCAGGCTCTGAGGCCACTTCCCAAGGGCACTTCCTGTCTCTTGACTTTCTCTCTCTCGGTTTTGGTGCTCTGGTGAGTGTACGCTTAATTTTGCTTTCCATTTGTTTTGAATTTCTCTTCCATTAGAGCCGTGTAACCACGCGGCAGGCCTTTATTTCAAGCCAGCATTGGAGTGTGTGTGAGTGGCAAGGCGATTAATTTCGGCTGTGTGGAGGTTGTTGGAAGGCAGGAACGCAGTGAAATGCTCTGCCTGGCTCATTTCCACGTGGGCTAGTGCGGTACGGGGTTTGACTTCCCTTAGACCTGGTGACCCAGGAACAATAGACTCTGCTTCAGGTACAGCAGGTACGTGTTCCTAGAAAACCCTGGCTTCAAATTGCTTGGAGGGAAAGACATTATTCGGATGCTGTTTAGATTTATATCTTCCTGCTTGACCATACATCTTGGAAGGAAGAGTTCAGCACAGTAGATTTTAATCATCGGGTGAGTGTCTGTAGGGCCCCAGGTAGCTATCGTCTTTCCCTTGTCTGCTCCGGGTATTCCAGCTTTCTTGATAAGACTGGTCAGCAAACTCCGAAGACATGATTTTAGTGAGCCCTAAAAGGAGCCCCTGATTTTAATATTACCACTATGGTGAGGGTGTCCTAAAACCCTTAAAATTGACAGGAAAAAAAAAATCGCACCATAGCTTGGTGCAATTCCAAGTTTCAAATTCTAGCCCCACGGTTTACTGTGCCTGGTGACCTTGGGAGCCACAGGGAGCCATTCTGAGGCTCACCTTGTAAAGATCAAATAAAATATATGAAGTCCAGATACTAGTATGTGTCTAATAAATATAGTTGCAGTACTTTCTAGAAGTAAAAACACTTCTTTGCAATACACATTTTCTGTCTTTTTTTTCACAGAAAGTTTTATGTAATGACCTTGAGAGTAATTTCGTTGGATTCCTATTTTTCTCTGTAATAGACGTTGGTTTAAATATGTGTTGATTATCCTTATAGGCAGAAACTGTGAGAAAGACAAATAATAAACTTGCTAATTTAATGCACTAGTAATAGGCATTGGTAGGCCTCCCATAATCCTTGTAATTCTCAAGCTAAATTACTTTTATTTTGGAGTAGGTTATACATTCACATAGTTCAAAATTCAAAAGGGACCAAACTATACAATGAAAATAAAAATATCCCTGTCTCTAAACCAGCTGATTTCCCTTGCCAATAACAGTGTTAACAGGTTTTTTGGGTATCTTTTGTAAGGCATTTTATGCACATGTAAGCAAATATGTATTTTTATCCTTCCCTTCTTCTATAGTGCTCTATCATGTTCCTTTCTTTTCACTTAACAGTTTAATATGAGTAAATAGTGTTCTTTATAATGGTTACATAGTATTCTAATCATATGTACTAATCATAATTTACTTAGCTTTTACTGGGAGACATTTTTGGTAGTTTATGATCTTACTATTTCCCTCCAAATGAATAACTTTATTTGTAAGTCACTTGGCACGTAGGCATTTTAGTTGGGTTTTGGTATATTTTTCTCTAAAAGGACTGTAGATATTTTGTAGCGCTTCTTGTTATTTAGCATACAGTGATGACAAGAAACCAGTCAACACTCTAAATATATTGATTAGTCAATGAAGATTTTCTACCAAAAGCAAAACCAAGCTTCTGGCCTTTATATGAATATATCTTTGACCACTTTGGCTTGACTGGGCACCAGTAACACAGTGTTTACTGTGCCAGCCACATACACCAAGGGTGGTGGGTTCGAACCCAGCCTGGGCCAGCTAATCAACTACAACAAAAAAATAGCCAAGTGTTCTGTCAGGCAGCTGTAGTCCCAGCTATTTGGGAGGCTGAGGCAAGAGAATCGCTTAAGCCCAAGAGTTGGAGGTTGCTGTGAGCTGTGATGCCACCACACTCTACTGAGGGTGTCATAGTGAGATTGTCTCAGAAAAAAGACAGTAGTATCTTGGAGTTGGAAGAGCCCTTATACATACTATATGAGTGACTTCTGGATTATAAAAGGTTAAATTTGGGAGTAGAATATCTGTATTGCTACTCCTTAGCTGGTAGTAAGCTTGGATTAGCAATAGAAATGAAATATTAAACCTTTTTTTTTGGAGACAGAGTCTCAAGCTGTCGCCCTAGGTAGAGTGCCCTGGCGTCACAGCTTACAGCAACCTCCAAGTCCTGGGCTTAAGCGATTCTCTTGCCTCAGCCTCCCAAGTAGCTGGGACTACAGGAGCTCGCCACAATGCCTGGCTATTTTTTGGTTGTAGTTGTCATTGTTTGGCAGACCTGGGCTGGATTTGAACCCGGCCATATGGTGTATGTGGCTGGCACCTTAACTGGTTTAACTTCATACCAGCTACAATGCAAGATATACAGAGGGTGCCAAAAAAAGTATGCACATTTTAACAAAGGAAAATATTGTACTAAAATTGTAATGCTCAAGTCATGTTTGACTTGCAGTTATAAGAGGTGCTCAAATGTGACTTGTATTCGTCTTTTGTCATTAGTATAAATTGAGCATTGTAATTTTAATACAGTTCTTTCTTAAAATATGTGTACATTTTTTTGGTACCCTCTGTATTTATTACTTCATTATCTTCATGGAAGTTCTAAGAGGTAGGTTGTATTTGATATAGAAATCCCACTTTGGGGTATATATACATAGAAGTAAAATCAGTATGTCAATGAAATATCTATATTCCCGTGTTCATTGCAGCACTATTCACAATAGCTAAGTTATAGAATCAACCTAAGTGTCCATCAATAACAGATGTGTGGATAAAGAAAATACGGTATAGATAGATAGAGTGGAATACTATTCAGTGTTAAAAAGGAAGGAAATTCTGTCACTTGTGACAACATGGAGGAACCTAAGGACATTTTGATAAGTGAAGTAAGCCATGCATAGAAAGATAAATGCTATATGATCTCACTTAATATGTAAAGTCTAAAAAAGTTGAACTCATAGAAATAAAGTAGAATAGTGGTTGCCAAGAGTGGGGAGTGAGTGGGGGGAAGGAGAACATGTTGGTCAAAGTGTATATATAAAGTCTCAGACAAGAGGAATAATTTCTGGAGATCTGTTTTGCAGCATGGTGGCTATAGTTAAAAATAATGTCTCTGGTATACTTGAATATTGCTAAGAGAGTAGAACCTAAGTGTTCTTATCCCAGACAAAAATAAGTAAGGTGATTATTGTATTAATTAACTTGCTTTAATCATTTTATAATGTATACATGCATCAAAACATTACATTATTCACAGGGGAAAAAAAGTCTGTTGTCCTAACTACTAAGCTAAGTTGCTTGCCATTTAATCTTTAAACTTTGCTTGCATACTTATAAAGTGGAGATGATATACTTGCAAAATGAGATTAATATATGGAAAGTGCTTTATAAATTCTACAATAGGCCAAATATTATGCTCTAGATTAAATAGCAAGTTAAAGAAGAGAAGGTCACATCCTGATTTCAATTTATTCTTTCCTATTGTCTGATCCAAAGCCCTAAGGCACTGTATTTTCATTTCATTTTTATTTGGTCCACTAGCCATAGGATTGGGACTGGGTGAAATGGCAGGATGCACTAGGCATGAGCTGTACAGTTAGTCCGAATTTCTGACCTCACCACTTCTATTTCATGTATAATCTGAATGGATTCTTCCATACGAAGAAGTTAAAACTGTTAGTACTCTTAGCTAACACTTGGAGTCTGCCCTGATAGCAGAGCCTTATACAATTATCTCTAAAGGAAAGCTATGCCAAGTTATCAGTTTACCATTTACATCCTAGGTATAATGTTTTGTACTGTTTTCCTTCTGTTTCAGGTTGAAGATGAAATCCACCAAAGAGGGAAGACCTGAGTCTTTACTATCCCACGTGCCAGCACAGAAAGGGCTCTGGGAAAGCCTTTATAAAATCTATAGACCCCCCTGAATATCAAGTGGGCTTGGATTTGAACATTCAATAGAAAAGGTTAAAGGCTGATGGGACCATAAAGGTACTTAACTTTTCACTAAGCTGCCTTAAGTTCTCTACATTATGCATATGTGTGCCTTTTCTGTCTAAAAAGATTTGAGATTATTAGAATTATCGTTGTATCTCATGATGTTAGATAGTAGGCACTGAGTAAATTGGAATGGAAGTGGTCAAGTTGAGTTGTAATATAATCATAAAATGGAAGTATCTGCTCATTTAGGATGTATCACCAGTATGTATTTTGTATCAGGTCTTCATGAATCATCTCTTGTCTCATACAAAATGTACCTTTTGGCTGTGAACACCAGGACTTTGGAGAGCTTACTGCCCACAGTCAACAAAATGAATGGATCATTGGTTTATATAGTATTTACAAAATGCGTAGAACATATGAAATGAGCTTTGCATGGTAGAATGACATGAAGCATGACTGGAATCCTTCAGGGAGCATCACACATTGGAAAAGGCATATTTAACATTAGGATTTTCATGCTAGGCTTTGTGCTCTTGGGTCGAGGACACAAAGACTTTGCACTCTGGGTTTTGTTTGTGTGAAGTGAGGTAAATAGAGAACTTGCCCCTTGAAGGAGCCTTTTTTTTTTTTTT